AACCGACCAGCTATCTGAAACTGAACCACCATCAGCGGAGACTGGCTCCGTCCATCCGCCGCTGGCACTCGTCGCCAACAGGCTCCGGCTAGCACGTTAGCCTACTGTTTATTCATTAATACTAGCATGCAGCTTTTTAAAATAATCACAGGCCGGAGGCGTAGTGGACAAAGTGGCAGACTGATATCAGACCTGTCGTCAACAAAGCCGGAGAAACATCAATGGCCAGTGGAAAGCCTGCCTACCTCAGCTCTGATCTGATCTGCTGCCGCTGCCGCTGCTGCTGCTTCCTCTGCCTGCAGCCTGCTTCTGATCACTGGCAGGGCCCGACAACTGTGTCACGTGAGGGCCACGTGATGTAGACCAATTAAATCATCACAGTTCACATCAATTACTGTGGTGTCTCGACTTTAATCTAATCGTCGTTAAAATGAGGTTAAGACGATATATTATTTATTTTCTAACTAGAAAGTAGAAAAAAGTATCCACATCCAACTAAAAGTATCAATATATCAATGTAAAAATACTCTATTTCAAGAATATCCCGCATTCCTAATTTTATTTAAGTAATAGTACATGTTTTATCCTAGAAATGTACTTTAGGCATCAGCAGAAAAATCGCACCTTAAGTGTTATATTGTGGATTATGTTGCAATTATAATTGCTGAAACATTAGATTATTATTGCTGATGTGTATTACAATTATGTATTCCAAACTACAACATGATGGATTTCTAGTAGTAGTGAGTACACATTTGTGCTGTATGGAATGGGGAAGGACACGTAAAAACGAGAATATCTTATATATTGTTAACCTTCTTTGTATTTTTGGGAAGTACCAACAAATTCTTAAGTTATTCAATGCAATATATCAATCTAGATACCCTGAAATGTAATTGCAAATAATTTTTTTACTCTCTTTAAAAAAACATTTGCTTGCTTTGATGTCTGCATCGGATAGTTTATAGGATATACCTGTTTTCTCTGTATCTTTGTTGTAAATTAAATTCTCTATATAAGGTTTTACATATAAGAAAAAATATGAAATATCAATATATGAATATCTGCGATGGACTGGCGACCTGTCCAGGGTGTACCCTGCCTTTCGCCCAATGTAAACTGGGATTGGCTCCAGCCTCCCGCGACCCTGTACGCAGGATAAGCGGTTGACGATGGATGGATGGATGGATGAATATATGAAAATGTTCCCCCACTATCCAACTAGAAACCCTTCAGTTGATGAAGTAGGTTAATCGCCCAGAATTGTATAATAGTATATAACAAACATATGTATACATATATGGGCCTATTTAAATACAGTATACATTTAATATATATGTATTGAAATGATGTGTGTTCCTCCTCGGCACAAGTAGCGCTCCCAGCTTTTCCCACCCAGTTGTCTCAGTAGTACTTTATCCTCCAGCACACATGAGGGCAGCACTGGAGAGCTAGTTCTCCTTTAGTCCCACCTTCTCCAAAAACATGGCTGCACCCATGGCTGTCAGGCGAGAATTATGTTCTTTAGCAAGGATATTTAGTGGAATCTCTTATTTGGTACAGTAACTAACATATTTATTTTTTTGCACGACCTCTGCGAACAATTAATTGACAGTTTAGGTTTGCAGAAGTAAACAAAAAACATCAGCATTTGGTCACGGCAGTTGTAGCATGGTGGTTTTACAGTGAATGTCATCTCTAAATGTCTACTAACATAAGTTTATTTACAGGGACCGCGAGCTTTGGGCGCATGTTCAGGTCACATGAAATGTAATATAATCAGGTAGGCAACAGTTTTTCTTTTTTACAAGTATACATACGTTACTAATAACTGTGATAAACACTATAGCACGTCACTTTTGAGCTGTTTTTCCACAATATATCAACGATGCAGCAGTTATCATTATCTTTATTAATGTTTTAATTCCAGATGTGTGAATTAAATCAACTTATTTACTCAATTAAGTTGCCTTACCCTGTGTAAGCAGAATTGCACATTTTTTTTTACCATTAGTGAATAAAATAAATATGTAGAGCATAAATCTATAGGTAAAAATAGAAAACAGAATAAAGAAAGTCAAACCCAGAAGGGCATATTATAAAGTAAACAATAAATAAAGAGGAATATTTATATTTTAATAGTAAAAAGAGTAAGAATTATATTTAATGAAGTTGTCCATAGCTGCAAACGGAGATTATTCCACAGTTTGGCATTCAAAAGTGCAAAAGGCTACAACATACAGTGGAGTAGCAGAGTGTATGTTGCTCTAACTCATCTATAAGTTAAAATATCCTAAAATGTGTGCTGAAACTCAAGGAAAGCACGTGTGTGTTGAGATCTTTTTTGTCTTGTTTTAGTAAACGTTTTAAATGCATGTTTGCATTTCACAGCATAGTAAAAAAAAATTAAAAAGTAGTAAAATATATTCAATTGATAAAAAAATCTAAAACCATAAACAACTGCTCTATAACAAGTGTTAATATGTTAGACATTATTTACTATTCTGTCTCTGCAGGTCTAGTCTCCCATTGACATCTAGCACTTCCTTCCACACAGCAACAGTGCTTTCATCAACACCTTTACCAGTGAGTTATCAGTACATCTTCTTTAATATTCTCAGACTGCTTTTTCACCTCTGTTTTTTAACAGCCCAAAATTAAAATAATACACGCTCATGTACTCGTTTGTTTCCTTGCAGATCACTGTCACAGAAGAGCCTGACACATTGTTTCAGAAGGTGTCAGTGTTGGTCAAAGGTCATGACAGGGCTGTGTTGGACAGCTATGAATTCTTTGCCACCATGGCAGCTAAAGAGCTGGGCATCACCATCAACAAAGTGTAAGTAGTAATAAAGTTAAGCTGCTACACAAGACAATAGAAATTGGTTTTATTATATAAAAGTGTGATGCGTTATAATACATAATGTTAGACATTTGTCCATCCATCCATCGTCAACCGCTTATCCTGTGTACAGGGTCGCGGGGTTAGCCATTTGTTTTAATATATAAATGTTAGCTATACATTATTATCTATCTAGGGCTGGACAATATAACCAAAAATGTTATCACAATAATATCCAACGAAGGTTAAAGTCAAGGGCAACTGGACTTGGTTGAAGATACTGGAAGACGTTTCGTCCCGCATCCAAAGGACTTCTTCAGTTCTGACTGACTGGCAGGAAACTCAGCTATTTAACCTCAGTGGGGTCGTTTGCCAGGATCGTCGATACTGCTGGTTCGTTAGTGTTCCTGGTTGCTGTAATGACAATCGTTAAGTCATTAGGACAACCTGAGGCCAAGACTGAACGACCATTGTTGGTATCTTCACCTGAGGCCAATAGGTTACGTTTGTTGAGTTTCCTGGGAAGTGATGAAAGGACAGCATTGTAAGTGGGGGATAAGTGGTGGCGTAGACCCCCTCCCCTGTTCAATGACGGCTTCTCAACCCTGGTGTAGATGGCTTCCTTGACATCTCTTTCAAACCATCCATCTTCTCTGTCTAAAATGTGCACCTGGTGGTCCTCAAACGAGTGTCCTCTGTCCTTCAGATGTAAGTAGACTGCTGAGTCTTGACCTGAGGAGTTGGCCCTTCTGTGTTGAGCCATGCGTTTGTGTAGTGGTTGTTTAGTCTCCCCAATATACAGGTCTGTGGATTCCTCACTGCATTGGACCGCATACACTAGATTTCTTTTCTTGTGTTTGGATGTGCAGTCTTTGGGGTGTACCAGCATCTGTCTTAGTGTGTTCTTGGGTTTAAAAAACACAGGGATGTTGTGTTTGTTGAAAATCCTCCTGAGTTTCTCTGATACTCCAGACACGTATGGAATCACAATGTTCTTGCGTTTGACCTTCTTTTCTTCATCCCCTGTAGTTTTGTTCTTCTTGGATCTTGTGGCTTTTTTCACAAAGGTCGACTGTCGTTACAGCAACCAGGAACACTTGCCCTTGACTTTAACCTTCGTTGGATAACTATGACCTGGATGACTGAGAATCTTCACAGACAACTTATCACTAATAAATTTCACATCATTTGATATTGACAATTGTCACAATATATGTCAAATCAAGTTTAAAGACTGATTATTGCTCCTGAGTAAAAGTAAGAAACTGGATGATTAATTGTGGTTTTAAACTTCTAAACACAACAAATCTTAGGTACAACATTCAAAACAATTATGATAAAATATTTTTTCAACAAATATGCATGAGTAAAATTAGTCAGTTTTCCTTAACAAAATAAATATCTTGAGAAAACTGAAGTGCTTATTCGTTCCTTATTCAATCAAATTAAATCAAACACTTATTCAAAATTTGTTATATTGTTATTGAGAAAAGGTATTTAGCAATAATTATTGTTTTATTGCTCAGCCCTAAGGATATCACTGTTTGCCACAGTTTACATTATATCCATACCTTAGTACATCTTTCTGCCTGACATTGGTTTTTTATATTTTGTTTCTCTGCCAGTTATGAACCTTCCAAGGACATGGAGAGGTTTACACTCCTGAAGTCAGTTCACATCTTCAAAAAGCACAGGGTCCAGTATGAGATGAGGACACACTACCGGTGCATTGAGGTGATGAGCCTGAACTTGGCTTTTCATGCTTGTTTAATTGAATTAGTCACTAACAGGGCACAGCCCTTTTTTTGTTTAAGTATTTATGCTCCAGGCATCAGGCTTTACAACAAAGCTAGGCAAAATCAGGCTTTATTCAGCTGGGGACATTGTACTGTCTTTGTAACTTAACAGTTAATCCATTAGTCAGCCGATGTGTTTCAAAAGAATATATTTGTGATTCAAGTATTACAGTGGTTTTGTCTCTTCTCTTGTTTTGTAGCTGTCTCACATCACAGGCTGCACAGCGCAGGTATACCTTGAATACATCCAGAGGAACCTCCCTGAAGGTGTAGCCATGGAGGTGACAAAGGTAAATTACTGCAGAGTCAGTCATACATCAGCAACAATCCCATCAGCTCAATCTAATTGTGCATTAATGAATCGTTCATGTTATCAGACTGCCATGGAGAAGGTTCCAGATCACATCCTTGAGCCCATGTGGAAGGACCACCCCATTGATGAAAAGCCCAGCCAGTGAATTCAGTAATGCGCAACAGACACTTATTGGATGTCTTTTCTGAGACATGATTATGTGTTAATGGGGAGATAAATGGGAAGATATGAAAAAAAATGCAATAGTAATATTTGCTTGTCATGGACTTGTGAACTTTGAACATTATCATCACATCAGAGTTGAACGCTACAGAAGGACTTACATGCATTATGTCAGCTTGTAATGGTGTGTAACAGTCTTCATTTGCTGACAGTTGTCTTCTGTGTAACAAAACAGTGTGCGATGTAATTTTTATTCCAATGAAAACATTCTGCATTTAATGACAACCTCTCACCTTTTTGTGCTGTTATTTGGTGGGAATTGTGAATCTAATGTTTCTTCACAAATATAACAATCTTTGTTTAACTATCTGCAGTGATATTGGATTGTTATTTTGTATGAACACATATTCTGTAGGAAACAAAACCAGCACGCAAGACATTTAATTTTTGCATTTATTGAATAGTCGGTATACACAAATTTGAGACAAAACACATTTTTAACATGCATGTTCTGTAGTGAAAAGAGCATAGCATGCTTATGCTCAGTGATTTAAGGCTGATACTTGCTGCCATTTTAATGAGATTTCCTGGTAAAAGTCCCTGTATTTATCATCATAGACACATTCTCCATTGTTTTATTTAAAGACTGTTGATGACTGGCCCTCCCCCCTCCTCCTGTATTAAAATAAGGTGTCATACAGAGTTAGTGCATCATCTTCACAGAGGAGTAAACAGTGGTAAGAAGCTTCAACTCTTTTTTTTTTTTGCAGCAAGGAGACTCAATATTAAATGGATGGATAAAACCATTGTCTTCATTATATATTTAAATTTTCCTTTCCTTGACCATCAATTCTGTGCCTACTTAGCCTTACTTAATGTACCTACCATGGTTACATAGGTATTGACATTATTACATTTACATTATCAAAACTCTAAACCTGACTCGAGTACTTTTACTTCTGGTTTTGTCTAGATACTGCGGGTTTGAAAACCTCAGCAAGATGCACAGAAATTGACCTTTGTGGTCCCCGCAACCTTAATCCTAAATATGTTTCGTCCACCAGACAAAGTTTATATATGAAGCTTGTCCACATCCACTTTTTTAGATGGTTATATATTATATAAATAAAGTTAATTTGAGATTCATACATCACTATAAATTAATTATTGTAAGATATAATTATACTTTATACAATTTTTATTCAGTATACTCACTAATCGCACAAAAGCATACCTTTAACACAGTAAAACAATGAGCCACTTGTATCAATGGCTTGATTCCATCCATTCCAGTATCTTGATGGTTATATTCACTGAGAGTGTATTTAGAGAACTGTCACTTAACTACACACAAACACACCATGATAATGGTTTGGAAACTAGTTAACCTCTGATGATACATTGTAAGTTTATGTTCACCAGCAGAAACAGGCCCCTGAAACTGTGGCTAAATGCTAAATGGAATTCAATCACCCAAATGTAATTATTCACGCCTGTGCTTTTCCTACTGTGACATGTAAAATTTCTTCATGCCAGTTATTAGTGCAACAATACTGATTTATAGAGCTGTCTTTTCGTGCATTTCCCTGCATGCCCCTACAGTACATATGTATTTCCATACATAAGTCGAGCAAGAATCTTCCAAACCACGTTTTATTGTTTGGAGCCATTAAGAAAACATTAAGTACCATAATCTATGAACCCATAGTCCTCTGTGCATCACCATGTTTGGTACGACTCCGTAGTCGTTACAACTTCCATCCTGAAAAGAGAACCTCCAGGCATCAGTGAGGGAGGGGTTTAGATATTAAGACACAAGAGGAGGCTCACCTTTTCAAGTGAAGTGCCGGACCTCAGGTGTCACGCCGCTGGTGAAGGAGGGGATAGATGTGAGGGAGGGCCTGGGTTCCTGGGGCCTGGGAGGTTAACTGTACTGTGTGCCCCCCTTCATGAGACAACAACAGTCAGTCTGTTATAATCAACCAAAACGGAAAAACAAGAAGGGACTGCAGAGACTGAAGAGGCAGCAAAATGTACTGAAAGTGCTGGAAAGAGATGGAAAACGACAGAGTAGGGGGGAGAGGGGGAGAGAGCCAATACCTTTCTGTGGCTAATTTATGAAACAAATAAGCTGTTACAAATACCTGTTGAGGTCTGCAGCCATATTTGAGTATTCTGCAGTGCCTTAGCAGCTCAGAAAATAAAATGCTCTATCATATAGAAATATTGCCAAATCCTTGTTTGTGCCAGCACTGGATACTACAGTTGAAAGTTCATATGACTGTGCTTTAGCATTACAGAAGTCAAATATTTATAAATTCAGTAAGCCTGAATTAGCACAATATGGAAAAAGGACTAAGTTTATTCACATACCTCACAAACCCTGAAGAGCCTAAATGCTTTTTAATTGGTGTCCACTTTACTCAATGTTCCAATATGCCATTAATATATATCATTGAATGAAAAGTAAATCTGTTGGCGCTTTACAAAATCAATCTAAAAGAGCAACAACAACATTCATGTCAACAAACTTTAATTTTTTAAATAAATATTAAAAATATATGGTAGTAAAGGAGAAATTATAGAAGAATATTAAAGTATAAAATTAGTCATATCAGAGTGTTTATCCTTTTCAGATGATGTGCTCCTTTTAGACATGCTACCACGGAAACTGAAGTACGACATGACGTTGGGTCAAAAGCATTTCATTGCCGTTCAAGTGTGGAGCGGTTGATGGAGTCCTCCAGTCAAAATTAGATGGTAAAATAAATGGTAATGCACTTCAGTGAATGAAATTCATCTTTCGAGTTCTCAGCTACAGAAAGAGTGCGATTCATGTATTACCTTTCCAAGTTTTTTCTTATCTGCAGTATCTGCAGCCCTCAGCAAGTATATAGAAATGTTTCAATAAGATCCACTGAATATTCATTAATAACATTCATTAAAAGGGCTCTTGGTCCTCCACACTCATCCAAATAAGTCTATATAATTATGTGCATCTTTGCAGTGGTCTTTACATGGCTTCAAATATGTAATTGTTGTAAATTGTAATGACAACTCTCAGACTTGTTTGTGAATAAACAAAAAAAAAAAGAGAAGTTGAGTTTATTTTTTTAGTTTTATTTTTTTTTTTCTCCACGACTATGTCATATGTCTTGACGATTTTCATAAAACACATTCACAGGTTCACAAAAGTTAAGTTAATTACAGTGAATAAAGTTTTTGTAACACTTCAAAAAACTAAACACAGTAAAGAGTAATTTCTTATCCTTAACTGAAGCAAATACTAATATAATTTGCTTTCATTTATAAAAAGCTACTAGATATATAGTTCAATATGCTATTCCTTTATAATGTATTTTCCTTTTCGTCATTACACAATAGATTGCTGAAGACAAACATGAATGTTCCAAACAGCAATACTCATAACTTAAAAGAGCTGCACATTAACGATATAAAAATTAAATACTCATGAATACTTGACAAGTGGAATATTGTCTTTTCTCTTGTGTAAGTGTTAAACAATATTTTCTGTACTGCTTGGTGAGGTTATAATACATATATCTATTTCCATGTAACAAAAGGAAAGGTTAGAGAGGTCCAAGGTGTACTACACTAGTAACAGTGGTGCTTGAGGGCTGCACTTTACATAAATATTTCCCCACCTTCAAATATGCAGTGTCACCCATTTTTTATTCTTTATTGAGGACCAGAAAAATGTCTTAAGGCTCACAGGGTGACTGTAACAAGAACCACAGAACACTTAAATGAAGTATGACAAGAATTTTCCTCCCTTTGAGAACAGCTTTTTCTCCACAATGTCAAATACTTCCTACAGTACCAACAGTATCTCTGTAACATATAACATAATGCTAGGAGGCCTTTACATTGTTAATAGTGAGGCATTTTATGTGTCCTTGGTTGTCATTAATCATTTTCACATTATTTTTTGCCAGTAGACAATATCAATAACCAGACATTTGGCCACAGAGTATGTCATGAAGATACTCAGAAACTTTGTATAACACATAATTGAGGGGAATTTCATTTACTTCAACACTTTATGGCCCCTTCTACATTAACAACTGCTTGGTTATTGTTTTTAGGGCACGCTGTGTTAAAAGCGTCGGCCACCAGGGGGCCCTGGCCACCTCTGGCCTCTGCCAGGTGGGGGATGAGGCGGAGGAGAGACTGGTCCATTGTGGTAGCTGTGTAAAAGGATAAAATCACACATTGGATTCTTGGCTTTGGCCAATAGGGGACACACTCTGATAAGAGCAGCCATCTGAACTATTCCAGTCAGGGATGTCATCCCTTCTCAGTTACTGTGTACCTTTGAATGGCAAAATACAGTGTAATGTCTTTCGCAATTTCATTATTCCATGCACTATTTTAATATTTGAGCAGTATGTATATTTTATATTTATAAGTTAACATTCCTTGACTCAACATGTGTTGTACTAAGACAAACTATTTGGGTGAAAAACTATATTATTTCTTCTATTTGATAGACAAACAAAAGAAAAGATCACAAAGAAATGTGATAATTAGAGCACAAGTTAAAGTGAAGGAAATTCAGCTATAATATGAGAAAAGGGACAGAGAGGATTGTGCATTGTGTCACAATCCTCAGTCTTTTGGCTCACAGTTTAATGTGTATTTACATCACAAATTTAAAGGAATAAAACTGGTGTAAGCACGTCTCAAATTATCTATTCAGGAATCTTAGAAGCGTGCAAGGAAGGTGCAGAGAATTGTGACTTGCAAAGCTTAAGCATGATATTAACAATCAAAAACCGCTCTTACCCTCTCGGGCCTCTCGGGTGGAAGTGGCGTGGAGGTCCAGGGGGTGGCATGCCACAGCCTCGAGGGTGTGGTGGACGCCCTCTAAAACCAGGATGACCTGGAGGGGGGGGTGGTGGGGGTCCGTGCCTAAAGACAGGGACAAACACAACAGCAACACTTTTATGTACAGAGGTAACCTTTTGTATTGATACACACAAGCCAGTGTTGATGCAAATGTAAGAGTGAGTGACAACTAGGGCTGAATGATTAATTGCATTTGCGATATTATCACGATGTGTTAAAACAAGATTTTCTAATCGCAAAGGCTGCGATTACACTCTGGTCACATGACACCCAAGACACATTACGCTGTACCTTGACTTCTTGTTGTAACATGGCCTTAAGGAGGAAAGGTAAAATGCACAACAGAAAGATACGTGTAGTAAGTTAAGCGTATTGTGACGGAAACGGTGTTTCAAACCACATGCACAAGTCCGAGTTACAGCCTGGTTACAGCCAGTGTGTTTTGAGGCTGCAGAGGTGGGGGACTCCAGTGTTGTCTGAGAATTAAACACGAGGCGTCACTTGGTTTTATTTTCATTGGCCAACTTTTGAATTGAATTTTGAATTGAGTATTTTTGTTGAGAGATGGACTCCTTGGAGATTTGAACTGACATAAGGACTCATTAATTGGTGGTTGAACTGTGGGTTTTGTATTGAGCGCTCACTGTATAATACACTGTGGTGAACTTAGTTTTTCTTGTCGTCTGTAGGTAGGCCGACCTGATGATATTATATCATATTATTTAATGCCGTGACTTTACTCAAATTATCTTTCTCATATTATTAGAATTTGATACTTCTTCTCTACCATTGCTCATAATAATTCATGCAATTCATGCATCACTTTTCATCATAACACAGGCCTGGCCTACAAGAAACCACTGTATGTTTAATCTATCTAATATTGTGTTGGTTATACACTGATTTACTGCTTGTCGGTTTTGAATAATACACAAGGTAAAGAGCTTAAAATTAATCACAAAATTAATTGTTCAGCCCTAGTGACAACACGCATCCATACACTGGAGGCTAGTAACTCAAAAAGTCAAAAGTAAGTAGGTGCAAGTTGCAAATTGCTTCAAAAAAAATATATGGCTCAAATGTATTTTTACTTGGTCTACAGCACTCAAACAAAATAATCAAATTCTTAGGACAAACGAAAGTGTAATTCTTAAATCTTAGACAAACAACTCCAACCATTTGGCTGCCATGGGTGTCTGCGCATATGATAGTGTGTTTGTGTGGTTACCTGGTCATGGGTGGGAAGGGGCCTCTGAGGTGCATGGGAGGGGGTGGTGGAGGAGGAGGAGGAGGGCCCATGCCCATTGGTCCACCCCTACCTCGATGACCTCTTAGATCCGGGTAAGGTCGCATCCTCCTCATTCCTCTGCAATTGAAAAGCAGGAAGTGTAATTTACCAATAAATTTAAGCATTTTAATTTTAAATACAGTCCACATCAAGAGGAGTTGTTGAACTGAGTGTAAATCTGTAAATATCCCTTATATGTTTTAGCCACACAAGTTGTTTGCATACTAATCAATCATTATCATTTATACTTATCACCATATAGATTTCAAATGTCAGTACCTCATGGGTGCAAATCCATTCATGGCTCCATCTTTCAGGCGACCTCTCCCATGTCCAGGTGGACCAAACCCTTTCATCATACCCCGCCCACCACGCATGACGCCTCGACTCATCCGACCCCCTCGACCACGGCCTCTAAACCCACGACCCCTGAGGAGATAAAAAAAAAATATATGGAGGGACACTGCCAACAGTCCAGTTTCAACAGTGTAAAGTTGTAACAACCACTCTGCACGCTGACAAAACCTTTTCATGCAGTTTAAAAACCAGTATGTATCCAGAAATACAGTGTGGGGCTTTAAGGAACAATACGACTGACCTAGCTTTGTTGTTAATTACAGGTTTCTCAGATTCATCCTTGGACATTTTTGAAGTTTCTGTCATCTTTTCTTCTGTGTCTGCATCCATCTGAAAGGATATGGTCAGTACTATATTACAATGGCAACCTCTTTTATTCCAAATTTCAAAATAACACTCGTGTTTTCTACACACAAAACATAAAAGACATATGTATACCTGCCTTGACATGAAAAAGATTTCTACATGCAAAATGTATTATTTGAAATCTTTACGATGAAAAATAGGGCATTTTACAATTTTAAAATATCAAGCAGAAGAAGAACAAGTTGTAAGTTTCCTGCAGCTACAAGGTAATCAAGCATGATGTCAACAAATGTAAGCCTCATTAAAACCAATAAGTAGCATGGGCAGCTAATTGGTGAACTTTCCAGAGCCTCATTTCCCATCAGAGAAAATGGGACACAACCAAAAGTGATGCTCAGATGTTGCTTTGATCGCTATAACAACACAAAATGAGGGAATACAAGTGTAATAGGTAATTATGTTCAGGGCTATTAATATGTTGACTGACAACAATTCAACACAGTTCAACAGTGAACAGGATGCTAGCGTTCTGCTGGGACCGATATGTTTAAAATATCACTCAGCAGATCTTGGAAACATGAAACCTCAGTGTTGCAATCACTCCACTGTCACTGGGTGTGACAGATTTTACGTGCCTCATTCTGAAGCAGGTGACAAGTTTGCGAGTTAAGGACGGACAACTGCAGGTCAAAGCTCATAGTGGGAAAATTATTAATAGTCCCAAAGCCCTGATAATGTAAAATGCATTATCAGTGACACTGCTAGACTGTGGAGAGTGGACTGTTGTGAAATAGGCAATATATTTTGGGAATTTGCAGTTTTGAAATTACTTTCTAAATTTGCCCTGAGGGTGTAACTGCCCCAGAAGAAGGACATAAACTGAAAGAGACGCCTGTGTCTCTGATACTTTGGCAGAAGGTCCAGCAATTCACATGAGCTTAAGAGGCCTACACATTGGCTAAATACCTTTTTAAAAGGAACCATAGTTTAAGAAAAAATCTACAAGGATACAATTAACATATACCACAACTGTTAAGTTCTTGTAAGCAAAACACATTATTTCTAAACAATATTGCAGATGATAATAATTGCCATAAGATAGGATGAGGTCACTATGAGCCTACCATTTACTAAGCCTGCAGGATTATTATTTATTTATTATGGTCAGTCTAAAAGTCTATGTAGGTCTAAAAAAACAAAAGTTTTAGTATGTCCTTTCAGCACCTTTATGGACTGTTTTAACTGATGCAGCTACTGCTGTATTTATATCCATGTTCTGTATATTGTTTGTCCGATACTCACTGTGAACTGTATGTAGAGTCAGTTGCCAGTTTATAAAAAGGTATACCTAGCTATAATAGGTGAAATGTAAAACAAAAGCTCTGCAATTAATCCTAACTGTATGAAGGTAAACTGTTGTTTTTCTCATGGTTATTTTGGAGGCTACAGTTTGTGGTATTGCACTATACTGAATGGTGTTTTAATATGTTTTCCATCCCATTTATATCAATGAGGGTAACGTTAGACTATCTGTCTATTTATATGGATATATTTATTACATTTTCACAGATATCTACATACTCCTCAGTGCTTGGAATTCACTGTCTCTTATGCAAATGACAATAACAATAAACTTTAAGGAGTGTAACCATGCCATGGAGGACTGTCACATGCCCATACATTATCACTGTGTTATTTTAAACTAAATAAGCCTGCAGATCCAAAGGCACGTCTAGCGTCATGGAAACATTTTTATCCTGACCCTGAGAGGCGGTTGGAGCTGTTTGAGCTACGACCATCAGAAGGGCCATGAGCAAAAATACAAGTCAAGTCTTTAATAATACTCCTAAATACTGTATAGAACACAAGAGCTAATGTTGGTGGCTAAATAAAAATGCAAAGTGCCAGAAGGGCCCAGTGTAATTCCTGGGCTGAACATCGCAGAGCACACCTCACGTCCAGTATGTAACAGTTAGTGTCCAAAACTGTTGCTTCGTCATGAATAGTCATCAATTAGGCAGTCAACGTTTAATAGCCACTTTCCTAATTGAAACTACGAATTAAATAACCCTACTAACAAGTATTTAAATGCTTGTCAGGTAACGTTATGAAAGGGGCGTTCCTGTGATTTTCAAACGCTTTGGTCCTCCGGTGAAATGTAAAGAAGGGATGACTTACTTCAGTTGGTGATGCACGCGAGGTAGATTCAAAAAGTAATATAATTTCCTATTTGCTAAGAAAAATAAACAATATATTAGAAAAATAAAAAATGTACAAAATTTCCAACTGCTTTCGTAGCTCTTATACGCTTTGAAATGGCGGCTTCGTCAGACCAGACATCCCAGATTGGGATTTCTTCGTGAGGAACACATTGCTACGCCCACCGGGAAGAATGCTGGTGTCTGATTGGCTACTTGTTGTTGTCAATCACCCTGCGTTCGGTAGTTCTATATTCTGATTGGAGGAATTGACTGACGTACGTTCTGACTGAGCTGAAGACGGTGTTAATCAATTAGTCTGTGCCACAAATTCAACTCATTATGCAAATTTATTGTAAATGTTTCACACAGGACTCCTATGGATTTGTTTAACAGTGCAAACATGTTAAAAAAGTCTGATCTATTATAAAATTGAATAAAATGAGGGATAGAATAGACAGTTTAACTCATCATTTATTGAAAACAGCAACACAAGGACTAATTATTGAATAGCTTTCAGACACAACAAAACTTTAAAATATCACGCAGCTACTTAAGTTCTAAAATATAGCCCACCAGCACACAAAGTATGAGAGATGAAAAACAAGGATGATAAAGTTTCTCTAAATTCTCTGTTAACACAAACATAGGAATATTGGAGAGATTCCTCTTTAGTAAAGCTGTATTTCACACCCATCAGGATACAGTGAGCGAAACATATAGGCTACAAATCAACAAACGGCAAACTCTCTTTCCAGATACTGAATTCATAATTCAAACACAGGCATCTTCATATACAAAAATAATTGCCAAGTACCCGCTAAATATTTACATCAAGAGAAGGGCAAAAAACAGAGAAGGAAAAACATGAAATGATATCGAATGATTAAGTTATCTTAAAGATGTAGCATTCATCAGAGATATATAGCTAACTCCATCAAATGTCCAGATGAGAGTAAACCTGATGCGTAAAAGTGGTCCATGTGCGTCCGTTACGCGCGGCTGAGGATGTCTGAAAGTTTGTTGATGTATTCAATTGTGTATTTGAGGGTTTGTATCTTGGTCAGAGGTTGGCCTCTCTTGCTGTAGTCCGGCGGCAGGTAGTCACGGAGCTGGTGCAGAGCCTCTGCAAGACTCCTCATCCGCATCTTCTCCCTCTCGCTGGCCTTCATGCGTCTTTTGGTGGACATCTTGGGCTTGCTCAGCCTCTGCTCTGCTGGAGTCGCCCTGCGTTCATTGAAGCCGAAAGATAAATCATTGATATCCTGATGCCCGCTGGGGTAGCACATCTCCGGTGAAGAGCACATGGAGTCCACCGAGGGCTCCGGGGACGAGGACTGAAGGGAATCCAGATCCTCTCCAAACGTACTGTCATGGATCTTCCAGTCAGACAGTATTTTAGCTGTCACAACCTCCAGGTTCATGTTAGAAATATCCCGAGGCTTCTTGCCGTCCACAGCGAGGATGACATTAAGGGTGAGATTCTGTGAAGGTCATTTTGCCAAAGCGTTTTTATATAGAAGCAGATCTCCGGAGGTTTATGGGTTCACAGCTGAGGCGAAAAAAGTTCAAAGAAAATCTCAAGTGCCAAAATGCGACCTTCCCCGTCGTTATTTATCACTGGGGTGTGAATAAGGCTAAATAGACGCATAATGTGATAAAAAGAAAAATAATTAGATTGCCTTTGAGGGAAATTACTCTTTAAAGTCTGCATGACGACAATTATCAGTTTGATGTGATTTGTCTAATGAAGGAATGAGTGGGATCACATGAGATCTTCACACCTCACTGGCAAGTCAGGCCTGCGTGTGTCTTCAGTCTGGAAGTTATATGGTCCCAAAAAATAGCCCAAGCTATTTTTTTTTTACTTATTAAGAGTATAGCTTTACACAGCCAAATTGTTTTTAAAATATATCAGAGAAACTAAGGTTCCGAATCAGCTACAATCATTGTCCATGTCTCCAGACAGTGTAATTAAGGGCCAAAATAATTATAATAATTATGCTGCCTTTGTACTGAGTCTTAAAATCCTGTCATTTGCTACCTGGAGTAATGCTTCTTGTTTCCTGTTTGAGTTTTTCAAGTGTAAATATCCTTCACAAGCAAATTACAACTCTTTGGGAGACCAGCTGATTTGCACTGGAAAACAATCATAATTATTCTGACAAACTGTTTCAGGAGTTGCTTTAGGAAAAGGCACAGTATTGGGGCTCAGTTGCTATTTGGGCAGAGGATGCAGCTGTCACCAAGCTCCTGCCAGACCTTTCATGTCTGAAAAGGTGTGTAAGGTGTCACTCATGATCAAGGGGACCAACGCTGGCAGGTTGTAAAACCAATGCCTCAGTGTCCTCTGTGTCCACTTCTGCTGCAGTGCTTTCTCTCTCTAGCTATGCTAAGTGACATGTAGCTTGTCAAACAGCAGTGGGAGAAAATAAGCATATGCGGTGCTTTTAAATGCCATTTACAACTGAAAACTGCTAATCCACAACCTTTTACCGATTTACATAAACAGTTCCTTTCAGGATCAGGGAAACATGTTATGGCAAGCCTCCTTGGTGCAACAAAAACATTCGTAAAAAACTTATTTATTTGAACAATTTCATGTTTTGTGCATTGGCCATGCAATCAGTCAAGATCACAACATATATCTAATGACAAATCATTTAATAAAATCATGTGTATAATATTCTCAGTTATAAGTGGCACGTTTCTTTCAATTCAACTGAAAGATCTTTTTCTCTGTATATTTAAACATACAAAAATAAACTATGTGTATTGAATGTTTGACTCAAGGTCCAATTAGTAACTTTTTCTGCAGCTTTCAAACCACATTGCACTCATTTATTACTTGACTAAACTGTGCACAACTACAGACACCGTTCCATTTAGGATCACAGGAACAGTTTGTGGCATTGCTAATTTTTACTTTCTAGTAAAATTGTTTGGTACATAAAACATGAGAAAACAGTGAAAAATGCCCATCCCACTTTGCTAAAGCCCTAGCTGATTCCATGAAATGTCTTGTTTTTCTCTGATTAACAGTCTCAAACCCAGTGATATTACACTTATTATAATGGTCAGACAAGGAAAAGCATGTTTGAAGGGCTGGAACCATCTGAAGTTTGACTTATTTGCTTAAAAATTACATAAACAATTATTAGATTATCAAAACAGTTCCTGATTAATTTTCTGTCAGCTCACTAATCGACCAATTGCTGCAGATGTACTGAAAATCTAGTAAGTAGACCTTGACTTAAGATTTTTTCTTGTGAAAGTTTTCCAAGGTTAAGAGTAAACTTTCACATTCAACATACAATAGCTTTTACATTCTTGTCCATCATCCTGTAATCATGCTGCTCACTTCAGGAATTTCAGTCTCAGTCTCTCTGCCAGTGGCAGCGGACTCTCACTACAAATCACAGAGTCATCGACAGGTGATGTTGGAGTCTGAAGGGACACATCAGCATCCGCATTAGTTGGTGAGACATCCTTGTATGTGCTTTTAGTTGATATGGGTATCAGTTGATGGGTTTTCGCTGTTGGTTTGGTTGTTTTAGGTCCAGAAACAGGTTTCAGGGGGAAGTCTGAAAGGATGTTGCCCTTGCTCCTGTTTATGGGCTTGACCTTGGCTTTTCTTTGAGGTCCAAACTGCTGGTTCTCTGCATCGCTTCCCTCGCTGGACAAACACATGCTCATACAGACACTCTTCTTGGTGGACTGCTGCAGGTTCAGGTCCTTGTCACTTTGACCTGGGTCAGAGTGGCACCTCTGTGGCGGGACTGCCGATGATGAAACAACTTTGACAAATTTATATTTCTGCGGAGGCTTTTGGGAGCCATTACATTTGTCCTTTGTCTTACTTCGACCTTGTACTGCCTTATTTGTTGCACACTGCCTTTTGTCAGTGAGCGGTTCCTTTTTGTTAACAGCAGATTCCTGCCTTGACAATTTATTGTCATCCCTACCTTTAGTGATGATCTGTCCATTTGGTTGTGAGTTACGAGAAGAAATGTGTTTGAGAGAGGCCAACCCATAGTTTAGTTGTTTTGAGACCACATCATTGTGTATCTCTGTCTGGTCTATAGCTTTAGCTGTGTTCCTCATGAGCACCCTGTCCCTTAGAGGACAATCTGTGTAGCACAACTCTAGAGCAGATCTGGAGTCTGCTGGTTTGACGTCACTTGAGGCATTTGTTTCCTTGACCTCATCATCTGTGGTTTTGGTTAGCTTGGGCTCAGCAGTGTGGTTAGCGGCTGATGGTGGAGTTGGAGAGGACGTGAAGGACAAAGTGTCCCAGTCAATATCGCTCAGGTGTAGAGTGTCGATAACAGTGGAGACAGAAGGCGAAGCTACAGCCTCCGATTCTGCATGAGACAGAGGAGTTTTGGGGCAATCACCCAGACTGCTGTGGCCTTCTTTTGACTTCCACTGCTTTTTATGGTTCACTGGAGTGTCCAAAACCACTACTTCTGCTTCCTCTGTGTTTAAAATGGTAGGAAGCACCGTTTGTGGTTCAGTGTTAGTGGAACTGTGAAGGCTCATCTGAGCCAAGAGGTCCGAAATACCATCAGAGACATCAGATGGCTTCTCCTTTTTACTCTTTGGCCTTTTCTCTGTAAAGAAGATTGAGACTGGATGTCAATGTTCAAAATCCAAAAGGGTTTCAAAACACATTTTGAATGAGTTCATGGGTACTGTGAACATATTCACTCATGTATCTCTTGACTGTAAAGCTCTTTCAATCTCAGTGGCTCGTTGCCTACACGTAAGTGAAGTACTTCAGCGCCAGCAGGGGAGCAACGTGCAACCTGCATAAAGGGACAGCGAAGCCTGTGAGACAGACACCTCTCGGCTGCATCAAAGCCCTCGGTGTGAACTAGCCGAGCTGCCAAACTCTACATTTTCAGGTGTCAGAGCTGCTGTAATAGACAACCTTGAAAAACAAGTCAACGCTCCAGGTGCCTTTGATCAGAAGACCCTTGTCAGCAGTGTGGGAAGTCTTGGAGCTTGTCAAGTCTGTGGGGGGGGGGGGGCTCCCATTTTGTTACATTGTTTTAAATTATAGCAACATTTAGTCAGACGTAGTTAATTTGACAATTTTCTTCACAGTAAAAAATATTGTACTTAATTTTGTATGTTTATGTACTAATATGCCATTCTTTAAAGTGAATATTATTAATTATTGCCTTACTCTTGTTCTCTTCGGCCAGGGCTTTGTCTCTCAGGTAGCTCTCCACCACCTCTGGGTACGCCACACGGAAAAGAGACTCTTCCTCCACCGTCCTCACCTCATGTTGATCCTCTGCAGGCCAATCCTCAGGAAACACATAATGTTCTGCAGATTAAATGTCAAGGTCAGGTCCAAATTGGTCTGAGTAAGTCTGTCATTTACCTTATATAGGAAAACATGTGGTTAACTCTTTTCTTTGCTGATAAAGAAAAAAAGAAAAGAAAAAGAGCGTGGACACAAAATTGAGGAATTAAAATAACGCTCAACCACAGAGGTGTGGTACAGCACCACTGGAAGGCATTTTAAGGAAATGTAACTTTCTATTAGGGCTGCAACTAACAATTACTTTTATTGTCAATTATTCTCTGCATTATAGTTTCTATGAATCATTTGGTCAACAAACATCAGAGACCTGAAAAAAATTCCAACAAAATTTCAGACCCACAGTCTAAACCCCAAAAAATTTAATTCACCATAATATTAGTAAAGTCAGCAAACCAGGAACCATCAAACGATTGGCATTTCTGCCTGAAAAATGATTAAATGATTATCAAAAACGTTGCTGATGAATTTTCTGTAACATATTGTAGCAGCTCTATTTTCCATATGGATGGATTTGCAGATACACTCTTAACACAGACAACAATAATTTATATACAGTATATGCAAATACAGCACATTGTTATACAAATTGAAAATATCTTCGCCTTTTTAATCATAAAAGCAGTCATAACATTTGATGAGCCACTTTCTTGATACTGGGATTTTAGAACACAAACATGTGTTAGACTTATGTGAGTTTAGTGTAATAATGTACTTTGGGAGTTTAGCTTTTGCAAATGTACATGCATTACAACTTCCACCGAATTCAGCAACATTTGCCTGTTGATGGAAACCAAACACTTGTGATTAATAATTTAAGGTATTGTTACTTTAGAATATTCAGTAATGTATGATATTTACAAATATATATCCATTATGTAATAATTCAGTTGTATAAAAAACACATCTTTTGCAGGATATAATACAAGAAATGAGGAGGCACGTTGTGAATTAGGTGACTGAGACTTTCTCAGGCCGGTCACGTCAGGCGGGCTTGTTAGTGAAGTGGATATGACAGATTTCCCAGTCTGGGGAGGAAGCCAGTTTAGCACTTAGCGGCTGTTGTGACTGATCTGTCACCTCTGAACCCCACATCACAGCAAGTCACTAACAGACAACCCGGTGACGAGCACCCCGCACCCCAACCTCCGCTTAATGCAGCAGTCATGTCACTCAACGAGGATGTTTTCTTAAATTTCCCCTTTTCCTCATATCCTTCCAATCGGAGAAAAAGAAGACTGCAGGAAAACAACGCCTCACTGATTATACTGATGTGAACAGCAAGCTTTGTTGAGTGATTTAAACTGACCTGGTGTGCTCCAGATGATTTCGAAGCAAGCGACGGCATTCCTCACCCTCGGCTTCAATATTCTTTCATAGGATAAAAGGTGTTCATTAAGCATTTACTGAAATAGGTTCATCACAACAATGTCAATAAAGAACTCTTCATTGTTGTTAAAATTAAATTTGAATTGAACTTATAGGACTACCTGAGGGGCCTGATTTGGGAAGACATTTCTCTTCCATACTTTCTGTTCATCAACTCTGTGTAGGTCATCAAGACTAAAACCTTTTCACTGGTGTAGTGCTTTGGCCACTCCATCTTGTCATAGGCAAATTTCTGGAAAGCACACTTTTTTTAAACATGTAACTCACTAAAGAGAGAACTAATTGAACAAGTAATTTAAATAAACCCATTACCTGCATCAACAGCATGTTTGGCTGTCTCCTCTTGAAATGTGACACAGACTTATCCTTGGAGATAAGGAACTCACGAATGATCTGCAAAATGCAATATAAGTATTACAAACTTACATACTATTATTATTATACCAGTTATGAAATAATAAACCATAGCAGATGACAGCTGTACCTCGGTAAAGGGGAACTGTTGACTTGCCAGTGTTTTCCTAAAAAATAAATAAATGAAACACTTGAACAGAATGAAAAAATGAAATGAAAATGAACAGAATAAACATAACTTAAAACTTCTTACAACCATTACAAGTTTCCAAAGCTCATGTCTTAAAGTTGTGTTTTGTGCTATGATGGTCCAAAACTCAGAAGATATCAGGTTAACTATCATAGAGGACTAAGAAAAACAGAAAATAGTTACACTTTGGAATCTGGAACCAATTCAGATTTGGTCATTTTTTTCCTGTTGCAAAATTACTGCTGATTAGTTGATGACAATTGTTGAATTACTTAACAAATGGTTTAAATTTTTAAGTAGCATTTTCAGTCATTTCACTTCCTCAGAGTGACTGAAGATGGTCATTGATAGACTTCCTATAATGCTATTAGTCTTGATCTTAATGTTGACTTTATGTTGTTTCTTTCTCATGCCATTCCACTTTTCGTTTACATCTATTTTTTGTCAAGATGAAACTTCTGTTTGTTTACAGAAAGTCACATACTTCCTGATGTTTGCCTCAAAAGACACGGCCTGGCGGGTCTGTTCATGGCGGTGCCAGTCACAGGGACACTGGTAGTCAAAGTCCTGAGGTTGACAGAAACGTTTACTGTCACAAAGCACACAGCCGCCACGTTCATGTCCTTTCGCTGAGCCTGAAAAAGGCGATCAATTAGAATTAATATTTGATAAAACAGGAGAAGTTAACATACAAACAGCTTTCAAATCTAACCCACACTACAACATGGGTGTAAAGACATAGGTATAGTCACACTAACCCATCTCCCACATACATGCATGTTTTAGCATTAAAGGATCAGGATCAGGGGTCATACAGTAGTTCAAAGACGGGCACCACTCACCAGGATGTCGACACACATGGCAGTGAGCAACCTTCTTCACAACTCCCTCTGACACACCTGCATTCTCCTCCCTCCATTGGTTGAACCTGAGGCAATCAGAGAAAGGTCACAAATGCACATACACAACACTATATATACACACACACCATTTGTGTGAGAAAAAGTACACAGAAATAAAAACTGCAATCAAAAGGCCAAAAAATAACAGGCAGGTTTGTGTTTCCTACCTCTCCAGAAGGGTTTGTCCTTTCAGCATCTGGATAAGCCTCAGAGCCTGCTCTTTTCCAACACCTGGTATGCCCTTATGGAAGAATCAAAATGTAGAGTTATCATAGGTCAGTCATATTGGTGATTTTGATGTTGTAAAATTCAGATTAAGGTGACCTCCCTACTTTAGGAATATAATCACAGCCCAGGAGGAGGGCCAGACCGACAAGATTCTCTCTGGAGAGGTGCAACTCCGTTTGTACGCTGGAGGTCCTGTAACAGTCCACCTGAGGGTCCTGGAGAGAAAAGTGAGAAACAACATAATTAAGATATATATATATTTTATTAGTTGGTCTTTACAATGACAGCATCAGTAGAATAATAAACAAAATCAGACAAAGAGATTGAGACACGATGAAATACTGGTTAGTTAAAAATGAGGTGTAGGCCCGCAGCTAACAATAATTTTTATTACTGATTAATTAATGATTATTGATGACGTAATTGACTAAATAAATGGTAGACGTCCATCACAAGTTTAGAGTTACGTTAACATAAGTTAAGCCAATGTATCTATTCACATTTGCAGTTTTATTTTTACTTGATAAATTCTGTAACAAAATACAGATGATCAAAATTGAAATACATTAATTAGCAGTCAGATTGTTAGTTAATTACTTGACTTATGATTTTGAATATAAATAATAAATTCACAAGGATTTTGTCTAAAACTAGACTAAATTAAACTGTTGATAGAGCTCTTAAAATGAATAAAGGACTTTCAGTATGGGGAAACACTAACATCACATCACAGTAAGTAAAACTACTTCACCCCTATTGTTTATCCATGTGGGAGTTTTAGGGATGCAATTAGGAACAGAATTGAGACTGCAGTATTGGAATGCAGTATATCCTCTGGGAACTTGTGTTTAAACACAGTCCTGGAAAAATCACAGCTCTGATATGTGCCCAGGTGTTACTTTAGTGTTGGGGAAAAAGTTGAACCTAAATACACAGTGGAGGATTCAGATGAATGTTCACAAACATACTTTACTGTTCATATTAAAGTTCCTGTAGACAGTCCGGGCTCCATACAAGAATGCGTCTCCATCATTAGTGATGCAGCCGTCCACCAGGCCCTCTGAGTCCAGGTAGGCACACATGGCCTCAGCCTCCCCAGCAGCGGTCACCCACGGCACACCCAGATAGTCCAACATTTCTGCACACTACAGAAGCAAGAGACGGACAAGAGTGTGAATTTACAGGTGCATCTCACCCTAACCCTATCGTGGAAAAGTTAATTTTCCGCCCATAATTTAAGTCAAACTTACTCAAAGTCACTCAAAGTGAAACTTTCATTTATTCTAGATTCATTACACACAAAGTGAAATATTTCAGGCCTTTTTTGTTTTAATCTTGATGACATTTCTGTATTATACATTGTTTGTTGTAATATTCTAATGTTTTAAGATAGTGATTTTTGATTTCCATGAGCTGTGAGCCATATTAATCAAGACAATGTAATGAATGAATGAATATAAGAAAGTTTCCCTTTTTGACATTAATAACGGGAAGAAATTAACTTTTCCACAATATTCTAATTTTCTGAGATGTATTACGCCAGAATATAATGAGAAATATGGAGAGTGGAGGAACAACTAACCTCTCTTAGTACAGCATTAAAGCGCCCTCTGCTGGTGTTTGTTGAAGACTTAGAGGCAGAAGACTTTTTGAATCCTCCATATCTTTTTTCTGTCCTCTTGGTCATGGTTTCCGCTTTAAGTTTCGGCGCTTCTCCTTCCATTACAAAGACGAGCTTCACCCCCATAAGCGTGAGGGATGATACCCTAAAAAATAAATTCCTGGACACAAAAGAACATTGTCTTCGGGTGATGTAAGACCAGCAGACGTACAAAACCACAAGGTTTTAAATAGTATGATTGACGCTAACATCATGAGGAACTAATCAAAGAACAATATATGAGAATTACCTGAGGTGGGGTTTGGTAACTCTCCCCATCATTGCTTGGACATGCTGGGCCTCGCAACCCATAAACTCAGGTCAACTGCCAGCGTCTTTCCGCTCAAACTGTAGAGCGAAACCGACTCACGAACCGGCTCGACTATAGACCACAAATCGTGAACACCCATAACTGAACACAATGGGTTTGAAGTGATTTTACACAGGGGGATATGTAGAAAAAGTTAATGCTACGTACTAACAACAACTCAGGACAACGACTCGGACTTTTCAAACAGTGGCGCCTTTGGGCCACATTCCAATTCGTTGAAGAGCTCTGTACTACGCTGCCTTGTCGCTGTAATAATTGTCACGACGTTGAAATAAAAGTGAATTCGACGTTAAAATTGAATTTAAGTCATCACTGGCCTTTTATATAGTACACATCGCACTTACACTTTCAATCATCATGATTGTTAAAAGATAGGTGGAAAGAAAGGGAGCTGTCTCGCGTAGTTGATCGCAGCCTGCCACTTTAAATGTGAACGTCATATTAAAGCGCCTCCAAATGCGTGTTGCTATGGATACGAGGCTCTTGTTTACGACTGATAACTTTCACTTTTGGGGGTATTTTTCTTGTCAACCATGGACTCAAAAATGCACCTAGAAATTGTCGGTTCAATTAAAGACCGTAACTTCCACGTTGCCAAAAGTATTGCCGAGGTAAATCGTTCATTTCCACAAATTTTAGAACTTTATATTACCTTTAATTGACATGTTTTCACCTGGACATTAACAACACTTTTATCCTTTGACTATTCCCGAAGTCCTTATACTTTAAAACGTCTCTGACTATGCACAACAGGGATTAAAACAGAAGTTTCCTGAGGCATTTCTGGATCCAAAAATCCAACCGTTTCTCGATTGTGACTGGCACACATATCTCTGCATCAAGAAAAGGGTAAGTTGTCTGATTATATTTGTTTGTGACTTTGAGTTCAACAAAACTATTAGGGAAGTAAAACAGATGTCAATCAAATACATGCCCACACAGACCTGACTAGAGGTCTAATACAATAGGCAAAATAAGGGAACACCTGTATGGGTGTAGCATAAAGGTGTAGAGTCTAAAGGTAAAAGAGGAGAAGTAAAATATATTTAAAGTATCAAGTAAAAGTACTCATTAGCATTAGTTGTGTGGCCCATGTCAATTATATTACTACTTGGTAAGTATTATACTATTACTTTGTAGACAGCATTTAAATGTTGTAACTGGACGAAATGGATCTAATTTTAATTGACTTTGTTTATAGAGCACTTTTCAAAACCATGTTACAAGAGCAAAGACAATAAAACACATCAAACAATATACACAGTAAAAGCAGGAAGAAACATGAGCAATTAAAATACAGTTAAAAGAAAAATAGATAAGTAAGTTAAATCAACTAAAATCAGGAAAGGCTCTGCTATAAAAGTTTTAAGAAGGGATTAAAAAGAGTTCACTGACTCAGACGCCCTGATTTCCTTGGGCAGGCTGTTGACTGCAAATGCTTTTCCCCCTTTCAGTCGAGGCTCTGGAACAGACAAAAGACCTCTGCTTGAGGGTCTCAAGGTACATGCTAGTGCGCATGGGACTAAAAGGTCAGAGAAATAACAGTGAGAGAGGCCATGAAGAGCTTTAAAAGTAATCAATAACATCAAAGAGATCAGATAAAGTCTATTCTAAAGTATACTGCAAGCCAGTCTAATGAAGCTAAAACAGGGGTGATATTTCTTTGTTCTTGTCAAAACTGCCGAGCATTATATGTTTTATATATTTTCATATATTTTGTACAAACAACGTTAATCTTCAAAATAATTTTTTATTAAATGTCTGATATACTGTAAAGTAGAAGTGTCTTTCTACCATTGTTTTACATGACCTCATATGAAATGAGTGATGATAATATGTGAACTGCAGCAGCTTGCTGAGGGTTGTGATACAGCCAAACACATCTACACAACAAAATGCTGCTGTAGTTTGACGTTATGGCTTTTCTGAAACGCTGAATCACAACACATTTGTTGTACAACACTTTTGATGTGATTCAAGGAGCTACGTGGAGAAGTGTGGCAGTACTCCAGCAGCCTGATGTGCTTTCTGAACGGCCTTCTCCTTGGTAATGAAAAGGATCTTGCCAGCTGGGCCAAGAATCAGTGGAGTTTCACTTTCGCTCGGCCGCAGGCTTTCTATATGGCTCTCACTGAGGACTACTACACCAAACACCTCCAGAAAACTGGGGCAAGTCAACACCACAGTCACATAAATAACAAAAAATAGGTAACAGGAATCAAGAAGTATTTGACTTCTGTCCATCATTTTATCATTTATTTTGCACATCATTTAATTAGCAATTACATTTGTAACAACTTGTTCCTTTTTTAGATTACTGTATAAGAAGCTTTGCAGGCTCCAGGCACAGTTACAGTGATCAGTAGTTCTTCTAGCTGAATATTTCTCTGTAAAAATTGCTAATTTATTATATTTGTTCAACCTTGGAACATTAAAATGAAAAGAACACATATCTCTGTCCTTTTGTTATAGCATCAGTTTGTCTTCATGGACATACAGATAGCAGGAGAGGCAGCAGGGAGGCTACTGTTTGAGGTAAGGAAACTCTGACAGGTGAAGCACAAATTCATGTATTTTCACATTGCTTGCACACACCACCTGTGTCATCTCAACCCTCTGACTTTTGTAAGAATCCTTCATGGTGAAATTTGACAGAACAGTGATAGATACAGTATGGTTGAAAGCAGCATGTCCTTCTCTCATCAGCTGTTCTCAGATGTTTGTCCGAAGACATCAAAGAACTTCGAGGCCCTGTGCACGGGAGAGCGAGGCCTGTCTCAGAGCGGCCTCCCACTTTGTTACAAGGGCTCCGTGTTTCATCGTGTGGTGCCCAACGGCTGGGTACAAGGTGGAGGTGTGGTCTACACTAGTCCTGTAAATAGAAATGCATAATCTCCGACCCACCTTTAGCATCAGTGCAGTTAATTATACAGTGCATCTCAATATGGGGTACATACATGTGACTTATAAAATAGTTATCAAAATAGTTTCCAATAATTTCAGCTCATCAGCTACTTGATTAATCAGCTAATCATGTCAGCTACAGCTGCAGCTACAATCTTTATTTGAAAAGTAACTAGTAGCTAAAGCTGTTAAATTAATGTGGTGAAGGTAATGTGCAATACTTCCTTCTGAAATGTAGTGGAGTATAAAAAGTAAAAAGTGACTCAAATACAAGTACCTCAAATTTGTACTTAAGTGCAGTACTTGATTAAATGTACTTAGTAGGAAACTACATACATCTGGGATTCTGGTCATGGTTATAATGTATTTAATTATTATCTTTTTCTGCTCTTAAAGGCTGCATTACAGTTGAGTGACATACTTTTTATTATCTGCCTCTTCTGTTTTGAGTAATATGAAATAAGCAGTGAACACCCCTAACTTCTTATCCACATTACTCTTTATTTTTTGTTTACGTTGTTACGGCACCTTAAGTCCTCAACAACATATTGTTAGATTGAGGAAGTCAATGAAAAGACATCTTGAACTGTGTTTTTTGCAGTATCATTGTGGCCTAGTCACATGGTAACCATATTTTTGAATTTAGCAGATATTTCGCCAGAAAGAAAAGGCAATGGTGGAGAATCAATCTATGGAGCAACGTTTCAAGGTATAAAATGTATAAACAGTCCAAGGCATCTACAGTTTTATTATGAGAAGAAAATGTGGATTTACTTATAATGTCAGTAACATGTGTCCTTTCTCCTTTTATTTTAGATGAGAGCTTTGCCGTGTCACACACTAAACGGGGCACTCTTGGAATGGCCAATAAGGGTCCCCACACCAATGGATCCCAGTTCTACATCACCCTGCAGCCAACACCCTGGATGGACAGGACCTATGTTGCCTTTGGGTTTGTATCACTAATTTGATTTGACACCTATTTAATTTCCTAATTCTGCATAATCTCAGAACTCTTACACAGTTTTGCTCAAGCCTAATGTCTTTATTTTCTATTCTAGTCAAGTGGTTGAGGGTGTTGACGTCCTCAGGAGATTAGAAGAGGCTCCGACTTGCAATGAAAGACCCAAGTATGAATGTAAAGTTACAGACTGTGGAGTGTTTAAGTTTTAACACCTACACATTAATTATTGATGTCTTATTAAATAACTTTGTTTTTGTTTTTCATGTAGTTAAATGAAAGATAAGTGTTAGATATTACTTACATTTGCATACACACATCAGCAAAAAACCTTTGAATTTATTTGCGATTGTGTGTTTATACTGTGTATGACTCAGATAAAATATGTTTTGTCTTTGTGTCAACTAGCATTCTTAAAGGTTCCACATTGATGAATCTGTGTATGAGAGAGAGAAGGGAAAGTTATTGTTTATTCACAAACTACTTACAGGTAGAACCAACAATATTCATAATATTCACTAATGCCATTTTATGTTGAGCGTACATGCAGCAGCTCAGAGTATATACCTGTGCAGGTGATGAAATACAAACACAACACTTAAAATTAAGTGGGAGGAACTGACAGTATTTGTCTTCAACATGTGTAATGTATGTCATCTCCATCATAAGATTTGACAAGAGTGACGCAGAGATAAAGAAAGTGGTTCAAAGTTTATGGCTAAATACAGTTTTAGCTGTCCAACTGTAATTGTACTTTTAGCCAGGTAACTTATACTGTTCAGGTGGAAAAACACTTTCCTGTCATACACTGGAAGAAAGATGCTGGTGGGTCATTTATGTGGTAGCGTGGCCGAGCGGTCTAAGGCGCTGGATTAAGGCTCCAGTCTCTTCGGGGGCGTGGGTTCGAATCCCACCGCTGCCATTTGTTTGAAGTTGCCCGTATGTATGCAGAAATGGTAACGTTAGTTGGTGAAGTGCCATTTTACTTATTACTCTTGTAAAAAGTAACAATATTACTTTACTTATTACTGGGTATTAAAAGTAAATAGTCACGTTACTCGTTAAGTTACAATTACTTTCAACCACCGCACCCCATCCTTAAAAGTGACAGGAAGACCTGTTCAACAGCGCATTTTAGAGATGAATCCACTTTAATGGAACAATAATTAACCTGAGGAGTCAACAACCAGCCGAACTGAAAATACTGCAGCCTCTCAGACCAGAGCATGCTGTATCATATAGGCTATGGATATAAGCTATGGATATAGGCTATTTAAAACGATGAAAAAAACAAAACAGGTCCCTCCCGACATTTTAGCTAATCGCATATTCACAACAGCATCAATGAGTATGATTTTTACGAAGCATTGCGTTTTTTAACGCCACTGTCTGAGATAAAAAAAAAAAACAATCAAGCAAGTGTCTCGACTTCACAACTAACGTTACTGTTTTGCACATGCATTTATAAGAGAAGTAGGCCTATTCAGTGCTTGTACGTTTTAGGTTGATTAACGCCACTCTCTCCTGCCGAGTGGATGCATCACTGGCAGGAGCAGCCGGAGTTTCTTTCTACAGGCTAAGTTTCACATTGCTGTACTGCTTTAGCAGATGCTTCAATTCAAAATTGTTCGCGGTAGACAATGTTCTTTGCATGTCTGAGAGTCGCACAGCTAGGCCAAATGGCAGAACTCACTGTACCACAGTACAGCTCTGGAAAGAATTCCTCTCTCCCTCCTTCTTCCATTAGTGATTTGGCTAGCAGCTGACTTGAACAACATTACGTGCAGCGCGGTCGCGCACGTTAGGCTGTATTAATATGCGAAATGATCCAACTCTGAAATGGCAGTTTATTATTAAGTCAACAAGAATTTACAAACAATGCGTAGTGTTTGTTTACAAGAAACCCTATACTCTTTATAAATAACAGTAAAGTTTAATCTAATCTAAAAGAATTAGGACACAATGTACTGTTTGTATATTGTTTTGCAACACAAAGACCTTCATCAAAATGTGATTGTGACCTATGATTACTGCCAAAATAATGTACATAAAATTGTGGCCTTCTGATGGACCCTGTCTGCACCTGTATCGGTTTTTGAAGTCACAGTTAATTATCAGCGTGTTAATCAGAATGAAGTGTATTAAGGCCATTGTAGATTTTTTTAAATGTCAGAATAAATTAGATTTCTGAGATAAAAGTGGTAAATTTATGAGAAAAAAATTGTGTTTTACAAGTTTCTTTCAGTCACTCATAATTCAATACAAGAATCAGTGCAGACAGTTCTTCCCCAATTTTTATGCTTTTGGTCTTTGAACATAAGGAAGTATCTAATAATACTGGTTAGTGAAAGTAGTTTAGGTGTGACGCTGTTGTCATTAACATCTGCATACCCTGCTTTAATCGAGTACAGAGCCTGTAGTAATACTAGCACATCTGAAAAATAGGATTTGTTTTTGTATATATGTAATCTCAGAGAATTCCAGATTTATTTCTTGTAAATGTATGACTTTATAAACTCAGAGAATATTCTAGTTCTTTTCTTGTAAATTTGTGACTTTAATCTCAAATAATATTCTAGTTTCTTTTCTTGTAAATTTATGACTTTAATCTCAGAAATTTTTGAGTTTTTCTCTGAATATTACCCCCCTTCCCTTGCTCCATAAATGTTTTGGCCCTAATGTGTCATTGTGGAATTGACCTTTTATTTGACTTAATATGGCTTATATAAAAAACTGTTGGCAATGGTGCCATGGATAAGACATGCACCTTCGTTTTGGGAGACCTCAGTTCGATTCCCACTATGACATCACCAATGTCTCCTTGAGCAAGACATTTAACCCCTAGTTGCTTTGTAAAGTCGCTTTGTCTTGAAGCTGGCTAACATAGGACGCTCCTGACATGATTTCACGTGATAATGTCATGCACTTAGGCCTACCTTAAAGTGTGTAAGTGTTAGTGACATGTAGTGGTGAGTGCTGCTCACTACCCCCCCCCCCCCCTCCCCCCCTCCATGAAAGTGTACATGATTGTACATGAAATTACCTTAGTTATCCTTGATTTCTGCCATTTTCTGTCCGCATCTATCCCTACTTTCTCTGGCTTCATCATGTTTTCACTTGTTTGACGACGATGGTTCACGCTCAGCTAGTGCTAAATAATACCCATGGTCCTCCATCTGTCCTTTTCTTCGTATGCATTCAAAGTAGTGGCAAGCTTCAACACTGCCAAAATTATACAAGAAGAAGAACAACGTAGTGACGAAACCATGGACGAAATGCGCTCTGCAGAGCTGTCTGTTTTTGGCTGCTTTATAATAATAAAAACATAGACTCAATAGATCCTCACAAATATTACGCTATGAACCCTTAAATCATAATTCTGATCATCTCTGGGAGTGTGTGTGTGTGTGTGTGGGGGGACTATAGTGCATTTGTGCCCCGGGGTCCTCTAGCGAGTGAAGCAGGCCATAGATGTGAAAGGTTATTTTTAGCGTATTAATATTCAGTGTTGTGCGTCACAGCTGTACTTTTTAGCAGGTATTTCTGAGCGCGTCTCAGGTGCCTCAGCAGAGACGAAGTGAAACCCCACAGTTTTTGATTAATGACTATATGAAGACACCCTCTTTCTCTCTCTTTTACCTTTGCCGTGTTAGCAGCTCGCGTACACTTGGTTTTTCTCACCCCTCCCAGTAAGTGCCACATGACCTGTCAAATAGGAAGTGGCAAGCTACCTAACCGAGCAGCAGCAGCAGCAGAGACGCAAGACCAGAGCAAGAAGAAGAAGAAGCCGTCAAATCTCCGAAGTCCCTTTATCGACGTTTCTCATCAGATACGTGCTCCCCGTCGTGCAGACAAGAGCTTAAGTTGGCCGCAGTCATGTACTTTAGGGTGGTGTTTTTCACTGTGGCTGTAGCTCTGATAGGTGCATCAGCCGCACCAGACTCAGGTAAGTTTGCGACCACTCATCGCTGAGCTAGCGGCTAGCCGCTTCCTTCCGTGTACCTCCTTAGCTCGGTTAAGACATCCCCAGTTAGCTAATTTTCTCTGTGTTTGCCTCCATTTTTGGTCATCTGCGAGGCCCATCAGATGTCTCGCCTCTTAGTTTGTCAGTTGTCACACATGTGTTGGTTTACGAAAAGATAGATGTATAAAATATCCCTTTAGGCAACTTGGCCAGTTTTTATTTCCACGCTGTCCAGTGAGACTCAAGTTGTCAGGACCAGCTAGCGCTTTAGCCTGTTAGCAAGCTATGTGACCTGAAATTACATTTAAATTAAGTGCCACATTTCTCTCATAATCTAACTTATGAGAGGGAGGACACGGGGCAGAAACAAGACTGGCTTTCTGTCACATCCAGTTGATCAGGTACAAGGGACCAGATGAGCTTGTTGTGTAACAGCCTGACATTTTGCCTCTTTGTTGTGTCACAATTTAAGATTCATCACATTGTAATGCCCTGCCGTGTTTGTTTGTGCTAAAATAATTTAACATTGTTAGAGCATTATTCATTATGCACAGAGCAACATCTGGAGAGCTACGGTTTCAATTTCACATCACATGTAGGAAGTTACCGTTATATTAAAAACTACCCAAACTATGTCTGATTTCTGACTTCTTTGCAGATGGATGTTCCACTTTGGCATGTGATTCATGTGTAACCACTCCTGACTGCCAGTGGGTTAACTGCACAACATGTGAGTATCTGTCTTAAATGTGTGGCAGGTTGTGGAGCGAGAGGCACAGGTTGGGCTTTGTGTGCCCTAAATTGTCCAGACAGCTGAGCTGATTGGACACATGATTCCTGGTGTGGAGAGAATGTATGCCAGTGGAGACTTTTAGATTGTGTTGTCTCAATTTCTCCAAAACCAGAGCTGTATCATAATTGTCTGGCAACAATAACCAACCGCTGTGGATCTGGACAGGCTGGTTTGGGGGTAAATTACTGGCACATGGCTCCATAGAGTGAGGGTGTAGGTTGGGCGAAAGTATGCGGCTGATTTCATAGACTTAGTACTATTTATTGCCACAATAAATTCATTGTAGAGCATTGATTGTGCACATGAGGCTTGATGTATTCTCTAAAAAGATTGAGTCACACTTTAGTTCTGATTGTGGTTTTGATGCCCTTTGCCTTACATCTCTGTGTCGTCATTCTGTAATTTCATTATGTTAATGGGAATATCTTTCTAAACATTGAGAGCTCTAGATAGAAGAAAGCTCTCTGACTTCTGCACTACAGAGGGTGACGTGGAGAAATATGCTGCAGCGGTATTTTTCAACCTAATTTGGAAAGTCTGCTGGTTTTGATTAGAAATATGCATCATTCAGTAAAAATGACAAAACTGCATGACCGATTGCTTCCTGAGTCAACCAACGGCTTTCCATCCACTGCGTGCTCC